CTCTCCCTCTCTCTCTCTAACCAGGCTTTCTTAACGAAATAATTGATTCGCGTAAACAAACGTACGATCGAAAATTCATCGCCCCAAGCCACTTGAAACCCTCTTCCAAATTCGTTATCTCATTCGATCGTGCGGATCCCTTCCTAAGCCGTGTAACATTTACAGTTCTTCCACTGGAAACTGCAATATACCTCTCTTGCCGTGTCGATCGTGCGACCGTAAAATCTTTATCGCCATTTAATCCTTTTAGTATCCTTTTCCACTCGTGTGCTCGCGAGAACATTCGTTCGTCCACAGTTGGTAGTACTGAATATCGCATATTATATTATAGATGCGTGTCGATACACGTTCTCGCGGGAGATGCAATTTATTGAGAGAGGCTATATGTACGTAACGGAGGAGAGCGTCCCATTAATGCTTGATCATGAGCGAATGCGCGCGTCGACAGTTTCGCCAAGAAATTTTCTTTGATCGGTAACTCGGCAGCGTCGTCTATATTTACCTTTGTGCGTTACACACAGTAACGGGTATAATACATTGGCAGCAATTTCTCGACATTTCTTGGTAAACGAGGTACCTTTGCGCGTGTATATACATATCTAGTTATTCCGCTGCATTATTCCTTAGAGAATATACCGCAGCGTTTGAGGTCAGCTCTGGCTTTTACTTCTCATTAAAACTATAGCGATACACGCAGCGAAAGTGGAATTTGTGAAATCGATGTCCCAGAAGATTGCGCTTCTAGGCTTGATTTCGATGCGACACGCGATGCGTCTCAAAGTAAGCGAGTTGAAAATATATTATAACGGCAATTTTTTTTTCTACTAAATACATAGGTAATAATTTCTAAAGTTTTATTCGGCCATTTTGTCCGTTTTGCGGAAACGTCCAACATGATGCCCCGAGTCGTACACGTGGCTTGTTATTATCGAAAATGTGGAGGAAAAAGAGAGGTCGTTTTTTCCGACATTTTCTGTCGAAATAAAATCGATCCAATGCTCGTAGGAGAACCTTCATGTAAATTTTCTTTCCATTCGGCAACTGTCGTTACATTTTTACATAGGAAATATTTTTCAAACCTGTCAGAATAATTCGTCGTTCGGTTGTATAACGATTATTTCATGTATATCAGGCGTCGGTTTGGAGCTAAAGAGCGAGTGCCGATATCTCGACACATCGGTTGCGTAATGAGAAAAGCATAGCTCTAGCGCGACCGAGACGCGCTCCGTCCGCGAGTATTAGCGAACACACCGGAAGGCTGTCTTGGTTCTTGTTCGTTACCTGCGAGAACTTTCGATCGATGTCGCGTTGTTGTAATCCGGCGACGCGTAATAGCTGCTTCAGCGTCGTCCCGTTGCCGGAGTTATCCCGTCGTACGTTCTCGTTAACGTTCGTCAGGATCGTAATTTACGCGCACCCAGACACCGTGGCGCGACCACGGCCATTATTAATGAGAGCCAGCCTAACGTCACACCGGTGACGATGTCTCTCACCGTGGGGCTGTTTTCGTTCCAGCCCTCGAGTCAGCCCGACGAATCCATTATTGCGCCCCCATGGGCCACTTACTCAAATTACGACCCCGATGCCTCGAGCGATCGTAGTCTGTAAATTGGCTTTCTTGCGATCACGTCTCGCGTGACTTCGTAGTCCGTAGATCACCCTGGGATTCGTTGTTTTAGCAGCTGCAACGCCCTTGTCTGTCTGTCGTCGTTTGCGGTGTTCTCCGTTGACAATAAGAATCCTCGCCCGCGCGCCTGTTCGCGGATCAGTAGCGGCCTGCCGAAGTATTTTAATCCGATAATAGCTATAAACGCGTGCGCTCGCCCTTCCTCGACTGAGCCCGCCGTTATCAATTAACGGAAAAAGGGAATGACCGAAGGACAAACATCGAGAACCTGTGGCGTTCGCTGCGGCCACCATGCGCCCGCGTGTGGACACGTTTACATACGGACAATGCTCTGCTACAAGCTAGGCGAATGTAAAGCCGCGGTTATGTATTTATTTGCGGGCTTCGCGCGCGCGCGCGGGGGAGATGCTATGTACTGCTCGGCAGCCATTTTTGGAAGTTACCGCGGCGAGGAATGGTTTAGCAAACAGAAGCTAAAAGGTTCGAGAGGAGTACGTTGAAAAGGAGTGCTTGCGGACTAGCCGTTAAACTGGGAAATATATCCGCGGCGGCAGAAGCGAACTGTAATTTACTCGACGCCCGCGATCTCGACTCGCGTCTCGGGAATTTTTCTTCTTTCTGACACGGCGGAGCCACGGGAGCGCGCGGCTGTCCATTATATCAGCCTTCGTGAAGCATCGTCGCGATCCAATTTTTCGACACTTTGAATGGCATCTCTGAGCTCGCCCCCCGATGTTCATGATGAGAAGATTTATGAACCGTGTCGCCAATCGTACATTGGCATCTTTTCGAAAATTATCCCCCCGGCCGGCGTTACGTCGCTCCTCTCCTCCGAATGGCTTCGATAAAATTGCGTTACGCACGATGTGTTGTGCGTCGGATCGGTCCGTAACTTTACGTAATAGAAAGTTTCAGGAGGACGTTAACTCAGCCAGACGTCATAATGTCACCGTTCGAAATGCATTGCGCGATTGCTTCGACTTAATGCCCTTCGAAATCTTACGTTTGATCACACGAGTAACATTCCGTGTAGTGCTTCCGAATAGTGTGTGTCGCGTATGTGCTGGGTGCAACGAAAGTCACTGTCAGCGTGAAAAGCTCGCTGCTCGTGCATACGTTTTGATACGACATCGCGCGTAATTTACCGCGTACACAAATGCGACGATATATATCTGTATCTACCGTAAGAAATGCCGGCCCTTTGTATTCACCACGATTCGCTGGAGGGGTGTCGCGCTCTTGCACTTTAAAGCTGCATATCTTTCGCAAAAGAGCTTGAAAACACGTGTCGCAATGCCGCACACAAGCAGATATACACGGCGGGTAATAAGTATCTCAGTCTCTTATGTAATACCTCAATATTTCTTCTGGCTGGGACGTTGTTATCTCGGGGGAAATGCAAGTGTCGCGAGAAATCGCATCTAATATTAGGTTTCGTGTAACGCGTGATTGCTTGTAATCATCCTTGCCCCGGCTTGTTTCCCTGTAAAACCGGAAAAATGCAGCTACCGCTGCATACCTCCCTTAAATATTACTCCCCTTGAGAATAAGTAATTATCGCAAGAATACCCGTGAAAAATTCCGTCTGTCGAAGCTCCTTGTATAATTCGCGCGTTTTACAATTTAAAACTATCCTCGTTATTCATTGCCGATGGTCACCCTTTACGTCTAGAGAACGAGTGGAACGTTACAAGCGGTGTTGAAATTGCTATAGTTTCGCCGCAAAGTTGAGGTTTGCACGTATACACACACTTGCGCGCCGATGTGCATGAGAGTGCAGGTTAGACTCGAGGAAAGAAAATTCGACCGTAGATCGTGCTAGCATTAGCGAGTCAGTGAAAACTGCAGATTACTTGTCAGTCGTCCGAGCGTGAGAGCGGACGGGAATTGCATGAGGCTGCAGTTTCATTCTTACCGCGAAAATTATGCGTCTAATAAAATCATTCACCGAATAAAACCCGCGTCACCCCGTGCCTTCGCTGCGAAAATACGACGTGCCGTTAGGTAGACTAACGTATCTCTATGGGACGTTTCGGCTGCAATTTTCATTTATATCTCTCGTTGATGGAAAATGCATAGAAATAGATTTCGCGCAGCCGTTATTCGTCGTATACCGCAGAGAAGAGAAGCTAAGGGAAATTAATCGCGGACGACGAGCTGTTTGTTGAAGTGTTATCATCAAGTGGAAAAATATTAAATGACCGGTAACGATAAACGGTTGCGCGCGTTTTGACAATACTGCACGCTGTGTTTGATTTTGCATTAGCATAAAGAAAAAAATTATAGCGCACGCGTTTACGGTGGAACGTACTTACGCGCGTTTCATTTTCGCGGTAGAGCTTCTCTGAGCATCGATATCGTTCATCCGCGCTTTCAAATAAAAGCAATCAGGTTTTGTACTTTTCTCGCCGCCCCATGCATTTTCCATTATGCCGCCTTCGTATTCTCGTCTTTATCTCACTCCATTCATTTCCTCCGACGATTGTTAATCTTCGCAGACTTGTTCCGGAGTCTAACAAGGCAATCTACTGCGACTATTCCGCTGTTTGCGTCTCGCGCGTCGTCGCTTCGACGACCAAATCAAGAAAATAATTTCTCACGATAACCGAACTCGTAAAAGGAAGTTTACGATGGTAATTTGTGCAGTCTAGCATTAAGTTTGCAGTCAGATTACGATTCGCTTTATGAAATTATACGGAGGGGTAGATTAGAGGGAGCTCTTTCTCGAGAGTGAAGGCGACTCGATGCTGCGAGATAGCGACGGAACGACGCGAGGAGACCCGACGCGCGAGATTCTCGCTGTATTCTCTAAAATAAATCGTCGCCGACGGTATCACGTGGACGGTATCCTCTCGATTGTCGTCTCGACTGTATGTAGGTTTGCATTGGTATGCATCGAATTTATCCCACGTCCGCCGAGAGCAATAACGCCTCTTACGTCACCTTGCCCGTTTCCAATTTAACAATAGCTTGTAAATCGTCTTTAAACTTTAAATACGCGGTCATTCGCCCGTCGCGTCGGCTCGCCGGGCTCACAGCGTTGAGATAATTCTATTTTCGAGCTATCGATTTTAAAGCGCGATAGCGTTCCTTTTGGACAGTGGCGTTTCTTTCGGATAACAGCGCGCGATGTACGTGGAAATAAAAACGAAAAATTAGGGAAGCGATAAAACCGACAGAACAGAATTGACGAACCAAAGTTCAGAGTTTACCACTTTCTTCTTTTCAACTGTTGAACAATACACTTTTCCAGAATTACCGCTGGGTCGCATCGCGTCCAACTAATCTTTCGCACACATATAACAACTGATCTTGTTTATTTATAATATCCAGTCAATTTTATTATTTGTAATTTTATTAAAGATAGCGGCGCTATTACACTTTCCTAATCAAAATTCTCTTCAATTCTAATTTTGTCTCGATCATTCGTCAGCCAATTCGGTTATGTACCATCGACGTATGCATTTCCAAGATCATTAAGCAATGTCCATATCGTGATGTTTCTAAATTTCCCGTATCTCGACTGCCGCTGTTGAACAATGTTTCGATTTCCTGTAATCTTGACGTTTGGACCTGAGGGAGTCGAATGACAGAGAATAACACATGTGCAATCGCGGATCTAGTAATGGCCTACAACGATAAAGTACAATATTCGACAAAAGCGTGGAATAGCCGTTGGTGCTTGGGTGATCAGCTTTAATTACTTACATAATTATTCTTGGGTCATTTACACCCTATCTAAGCTTCTCTCGAAGATGAGCGTCGCGAAGGACTGCCATTGCTCTCCGAGCTAAGTGTCGAGTCGATAGAACGTTGCTCGATATGCAGACCGCGCTGAAAGAAATGGAAATAAATTTCAAATATTTCTCTCTCTCTCTCTCTCTCTCTCTCTCTCTCTCTCTCTCTCTGTGTGTCTCTCTGTCTCTCTCGCACACACATCGTGTTGCTCGACGCCGCGCGATAAACCATCTCCTCGTTCGCATGAAAAGATTTCATCGTCGAAGACGCGGTCTGATCAATATCCGCCTACGCTCTAAATTTCAATAGAAGAGACACGTACATAAATTTGCAGCAAGGCTGAATATACCTACCTACCTAGCCGCGTATCCGTGTATACGTGCAGCCTGTGTACAGACAAACAGATTCGCCGGAATCGCGAATGGACCGCGGAATAACGTGCGGAACCGAGAGAAAGAGAGAGAGAGAGAGAGAGAGAGAGAGAGAGAGAGGGAGCGAGGGGAGAGAGGAAGGGACGGGAGAGAGTCTCGCTTCGCTCGCTGCACAAGAAAACTAGTCGCCGGCCATTTATTCCGAACTTGCCCACAAATATCGCGGCTGCTCTCAACTTTCTGTCGCCTCTGTGCGCGAGGGAGATCGGTTTGTCTCGCGCGCGAGGAAGCGCACTCGCTCTCGGCGTATACGTGCTCGTTCGCCGATGTGGCCACGTACACATAGCTGTATCCGAAGGATATCCCGAGCGCGATCGCGTTAGCCGTCCTTGCACAGGATAATCGAGACAAACGGCCGGTCATTCGTCGCCATTGAAACGAGGACATTCTTACGAATTACTCGGACGAGCAATGGTCGAAGATCGATTTCCAATTGCGCGGCTTTGGATCCGTTTCGCCTACTTCGCCGTCTACCTTGCTCCCCGGCACGAAGACTCAACACGGACGGGAGATAAGGCGCAGCGGCGCTCGTAGATAAAAAGAAACGTAGGAAGTGAAAGAGATAGGGAGCTTCGCCGACTCGCAAAAGCGGAAAATGGGCGAAGCGAGTTTGGGGTTAAAGAAACCGACGAGAGTAAATCTACGATGGTCCGCGGACGGAATCTACGTTCGATGCTTCTAATAGATTAAAGGGACGTGCAGGTAGTCTATTTTACGCAGTCAGGATTGCTTTATTTCGTTGTATTAAAGCGCATCTAGTCGGACGGACAGTTAAATAAATAGAATCGCGCTTTCTCCTCTCTCTCTCTCTCTCTCTCTCTCTCTCTCTCTCTCTCTCTCGCGCGCGCGATGCCGGTTAAAACGTAATCGCCTTCTCCGAGAGACCGAATCATATTTGCGAACGTCTCGCGAAATAAGAGGCAGCCATCATTATTAGTTATTACTTCCGAGTTGTAACGTCGAATCGGGCATGCGCGCATGTATCTGAAAATTACGTGTTGGTGAAACGGTTGCGATAATATGTGACGCTGTTGCGCGCAAAGTGGCACCGGAATTAGATGCGAATCACATGAACTCGTTTTCACACACATTGATGACCCGCAAACGGTTCCATCACTTTTGAGCAGCACTTTTGCAGCTTACTATTAGAGACTCATAAATTACTCTCGATTGAAAAAAGAAATCGATATCTCTCTCTCTCTCTCTCTCTCTCTCTCTCTCTCTCTCTCTCTTCTCTCTCTCTCTCTCTCTCTCTCTCTTTGGTTCTGCTCGTTCTCGAAAATTTATGGGCTCTTCCATCCCTACAACGTTGTTATTTTATCGAGGAATTATCACATCCGTGCATTGTCGAGGTAATGTTCAAATAGAGGGAACAAATCCAAAATGCAACATTGGAAATGGATTTCCGATACGACGGATGAGAAGCGCTATCTTCTTCCGCTTATTCGGCGGATCAAGAAAATAATGTCGATTTTCCAACATACTTGAGAGCGCTATATCCGACTTGACGTGGCGTTCGCGCTTATAAGATTCCTCTCGTGATGCTCCGTTCCTATTTTATAAACGAAACAACTTTTATACACCGCGATATTTCGCGCAATATGCAGCGAAGCGCGCTTATAGACCGCGATAAATCTGCAGCGGAGGGGGAAAAGGAGAGCGAGAGCGGCGCCGCGCTGTTGCGTAATGCGTTGATAAAAGAAGCAATCGTTGCTGCGACTATGGATTCTGCGCCTTATGTGGTTGACATTGGACGATGGTGTCAATCAAGAGTACAAATGGATTATTTGCCGCTGTCTCAGAGATTGATTTTGAGTGTCGTATCGAAAATCGATTTCCAATCACGCTGATTCGATTCACTTCTCCTTCGAAGTCCACTAGAATGTAGATTCAACGCGGCCGACTGATATAACGACGGCCGGGGAGGGAATGTGTGCGAAAGTCAGGAAGTGAAAAACGGACGAGGCGAAGGAGGTCGTCGTGGTTCGTCCGTTCCTCTAATGGCTACGACATTTGCATAGACAGTAGTAGTTTCACGGGTCTCGATGAAACCGTGTACATTCATTTGCGCGCTCGCGTCCCTCTTATTTGTACGCTCTCCGAGCTCGTTGAAGGAGGAAGAGGGGAGGAGTGACAATTCTTATTAAGCCTTTCCGCTAATCGAATAAACGTGCCAAATGGGTGACCATTCCGTCGCCGTGTCGAAAATCGATTTTCAATCTCGTGGCTTCAGTCCACTCCGTCTAAGTTGGGATCTACTTCTGTCCCGCGACAAGCAACCCTGCGATTTAACAATGACCAGATAAGGCGGGGATGGAAAGAGAGGGAAAAACGAGAGAAAGGGGTAGCGAGAGAGAAATGAGGTTTTAGGAAGAACAAGCATTGTGCACGACGACGGCTAGGTAGCTTTGTCGACCTGCAGAGTGGAAAATGGACGAGATAGTTACGGTGTTGAGACAATCGCGATGGTAGATACGTGGTAATACGTGCGGCCAGTCGATCAATCAGCCAATACGAATCGTCGATTTCGCCCGAGCGAAATTTTAAAGTCACCCCTCTTTCTACAATTTGGAGACCGCCGCGACGGTATAGGTTGCGCGTCAAATGTTACATTATGAAACGAGCGATTTTTAGTCCCGATTATCATCCATGTGCTTATTACATCTTTTATGGCTCAAATGATTATTAGGAATTAATGCTTATAATTGCGAGTGACATTTTCATCAATATCTAAAACTCCAATTAATTTCCGAATTAATGAGTAGGGCTCTAAAGTCCTATTAAGCCATGAAGATTGAAAGTTGCGTATTCATTATTCCCCGTATTCATTATTTTTTGACGTCATACATATCGGATGATGCAATCTCGAGGGAGAGAGAGAGAGAGAGAGAGAGAGATTCCCATTGATTTTTGTGCGATTTATTGCGATGTTCCATCCGACTTTCCTATCGGTAGTACCGTGTACAGACATCGACTATTTCTATACGCGTCGCACGTCACACAACAGTCCGCATTTTGAATCTTTCAAAGCGGCATCTTACGCTTCTCAGAACGATTGTACGTGTGCGCATAAACGGGACACGTCGCCTTTAGCAGCTCCTTCGAGAGTCGCGGTCGCTTCTTCCATCCATCAAATAGCTACTTACGACGAGAGCCTTCCGCTTGTGAAGGTGTCGAGACATCAATCTGCTTCGAAAATCTACCGAAAGACCTGCTGTGTACACTGCGTAAAACGAAAACGATTGCGAAATGTCGACAAGAACGAGCGTGGAAACGAAGCGTTTGAATTATCAAAGTTACATTCCGAATCACGGCGGTATAGAGTTTCGAAGCCAAAGTGTACTTTGGAAAAAGAAGAAAATGCTGCAGGAAACTACAGCATGAAAATACAGCGAGAGAGAGAGAGAGAGAGAGAGACAGAGAGAGAGAGAGAGAGAGAGAGAGAGAGAGAGAGAGAGAGAGAGAGAGAGAGAGAGAGAGAACTTTTGATTAATAGCATTCTAATCAAGTTACACTCTACAGATTACACGGAACGTGGGAGAAATATAAAAATTCTTGGCCGATATTTACGCAATAATATTAATATTGGAGAATGAATGAATATTGAAAAATGCCATTGCATATTGCACATGCAGCGCGCGAGTCCGTCCGAAATCGAACGCTGCAAATCGACCGGAAGTCGCACTCACTCTCTCTCTCTCTCTCTCTCTCTCTCTCTTTGTATTTATGGAGGAACTCACGACATGTGCTCCCAGCGTCGATCATATCGACCATTTAATTCGGGCGAGTCGTCGTCTTCTCGAGTGGGACATTAGGAACGGTCATTACAGAGCACTTAGCCGCCGCAATTGGAGGATCTTCGAGTGTCGGAAACGCGGAATACTTCGTAGCCGGATTGTACTAGCTGGAGAGGAGGATTTCGCAAACCGCCTCATTGGCGTTGTCGGTGAAGCATGCCGCTGACCCGCGTATCGACCACCAGCTTCGGCCGCGTATTCCCGGAGCCCCTCCACGAAAAGGAGTAGGATTCTGCACGAGATACGGTCCCTTGCGCACCCTCCGCTTCGCTGCGGGGCCAACCCGACACCTACATCCCGTCGTCCTTCCTCGTCCTCCACGTCTGTTTACGTCGTTCTTCTTTCCACGAGGCCACCGCGTATCTGTCTGCACCGACATAAACTACGACTCCATTTGTCTTGACCCCGTTGTCTTTCTCGCTCTCTCTCTCTCTCTCTCTCTCTCTCTCTCTCTCTCTCTCTCTCTCTCTCTCTCTCTCTCTCTCTCTCTCTCTTTTTCTCGCTCCTCTGTGCATTTTTCCATTCGCTCGTCTCGCAAACTATCTTTATTACGCTTTCTTATCATTCCGACACGTATCGACCTGCGACGGTCGATCGAGAGAGACTTGTAAAATTCTCCTTAATGCCCTGTCGTTTCAACATTTTCGCGCGCCCAAGTATCGGCATATCAGCGAGGAGGCGAATTTATTGACAATAAATCGCGGATGAGCAGGATAGAAAGTAATTTTCAGTAGATTTATGTCGAGATGCGTCAGGAGATAATAAAGTTAACGTGGAGCGTGCGACGATTCGAGCAGCGAAGGGATCGGCGTGTTACTTGTTCCATATGCAGGTGAGATATTCTGTGAAAGATACAGCACGTTTCGAGACATTAAGGAATTTAGAAATGATTCTTCTTCAACGGGAATTTTATCGAATACCTAATATATACCTTTTCCCTTGGAGCATTTAAATTTTCCATGTTAATTACCCAGGTAACGAAGCATCGAATTAAATTTCTCTTAAGCTGAAGCCTCGTAAAAATTAACTCGCGTTTTTTCTTTTTTTTTTTTTTTACTTATTTGCATTTTTACCGCCTCTCGTCAAAAGCCTTTAATTTTCGATGTTAAATAACTTCGTAACTGTGGCTCGGCTTTAAATTAGCGCTAGAAGAACAAGCTAACGTTAAATATTATTTAAAAGTATAATATCGCGGTATGTTTTTAATGCAAACTATACGGGGGAAACTTAAATGTTATACAGTAATTACGGTGCACGCACATCGGATCGCTTATATATATATTGGTTGTATGAAAACCAAATATTACGATTATTCTAAGAAAAATTAACACCTGGTCAGAAACTGAGAAAGTCAGACTTGCAGTGTTAAAAAAATTTGTTCCAAACGATCCTGGAGAAGCACATGATACAAACTGTTCGGAAAACTTCGTTGTCACAGAACTTGAAGTTTAATGAGTTGCACTCACATTATCTCTGCATTCGACGCTTCAGACGATAAAGTTTTGATTACAGTGCTCGATAAAAAAAACGATAAAGTTTTGATTACCTTTCTTCCTTTCCTCCTTCGGCGAGAGATTGGACAATATTGCACGTATTTTTTACCCCCGAGTTACGCCTCTTAGCAGGAATCGCAAAAATACTTGCAGACTTTTCGAAAACTCGTATATTCGATATAAGCAGGGAATGAAAAAGACTTGTTTCACGATGGAACAGCTTTTTCTCGTCCGGAGCACAATTTTTCCAGACGCGCGCGCGCACACATTGCCAACTCGGCGAAGCGTCTCGAATCACTAAGTCGTTTAGTCCTGCTAGCCTTAGTTTATCTGGCTTCTATCTACCGAGCGAATCACGGCGTAATAACACGGGGAGAATTTCGCTGCGTATTTTCCTCTTCCATCCACAACCGTGCCGGGATACGGCAGGAACTCCATTAAATGATTACATCGTTAAGATTCACGCGACTGCACCTCGCGCGGCCGCTTCCTCGTAAAAGTCGCTCCTGTATATGTAACGGGAGTCTGAATGTTTCAAGCAGTCTTCTCATGATTGGACATCTTCACGTAGAGACTCAACCATTCGTCCGAATATATATCCCTGGACTCCCCCATAATTTTCTCCCTTAGCTTTATTCCTTGCTAAGCAATTTATGCAGTCTGATATAATAGGGACGACGTTATCGCCCTTTTGCCGGCGGTGGAATTAGGGCAATGTCGTTTCGCAGACAGAAATTAAAATGTGTCGTAATCGTACATTCCCTATTCGTAGAGTCCCTCGAACGATCTATTCGTTACTAGAGATATGTTCAAGCCGTGATTGTCGCCCTTTTGGCTTATGGGACTGGTGACAAGCTTCTCACTTCTCCCTTCCCCGTCTCTCTGTAGTCGCTCGGCCACGTAAATTATATTTGAGTCGAAGTTGAGGGATTGTTTCGAGTGGCTCTTCGGCAGTCGGCGTTTCGGCACAAACCTCGTGTAAAAGTATCAATGTTGCTTATTTATTCAGTTGTTACTGAGTAAATAAGCGTGCTGGGTCTAAATGTCAGTCTAGTCAGTTTTGTGCGAGATTGCAAAAGTTGCCAAGTTGTAAGAAATAAAGATTGATACATCGGTCGATGAGGGCGTGAATACGAGGGGGCGAGAGAAAATGGTGTATCGGAGGGGAATGGGGGAGGAAGAGATTATTTTAGTCCATTTGTCGGGGCCGAACTATTTCGCTTTCTTTGAGCGCGTAATATTTCCTCACCTTGGCTCTTCTCACTTTGTTACTGATGCGATATACGGTGAGATATCGGGGTGAGTGAGAGAGAAAGAGAGATTTCGCGCTCGCCCGCTCTCTCTCTCTCTCTTTCTCTCTCTCTTGTGCGACGATTCGATATGGCGATCATCGCATTACAGTGACCGCTCCTTAATTCCTTTTCGCGATAAACGCGATTTAGCCGCTCGGATCCCTCCGATAGCGAAATACCGAGAAATTGGGAATTTCACGTGTCTCGTCGTGCAGTTAGGAGGTATATGCATTTTTCAATATCTCGTTTCTCAAACTCATTGTTCACCGGCGTTCTCGCCGGGCCTTAAGCCGGTCTCGAGCGCGCCGGAATAGTCGGGGAGAAAAGTCCACGGAAGCGTTTTCCATTCTGCTCGATGGTCACCGTCTCTTAACGCCCACCTCGTGGGAGTGCAGTAAACGGGACAAGGATTATCCGTAGTAATGCTTGGATGGCGACGAGTTGCACAGGGACGCCCTTCCCGAGCGGCGGGACGAGGAAGGGGTTACTCCGAGTAGCGCAGCTACTCCAGACGGTTAGCAAGAAATTAATTCCCGTTTAATGCAGTCCCTAGTTAGCATTGCAAATCTTCGCTCTCGCGGCTTTTCTCGCTTTTCTCGCTTTTCTCCCGTGCAGCATCCTGGCCCCGCCCGACCGTTCGCCCGTTCATCCGTCTGTCCGTCCGTCAAGACGCCATCGTAACTGCAACTACTTTTCTTTTCTTCCGTGTATTACGCAAATTTCTTGGCCTACGCGCCAACAAGTCTTCCGGGCTTTAAAAGAATCCGTCCCGGTTTGCTCTGTCTGCTCGCGGTTTGCTTTCACTTCCTGCGCGCGAGCTGCGGGCTTTGCTTGAGCACTGCGAGACGCTCCAACTGTTGAAGGTAGCAAAGGTAGTTGAAGAGCAAAGTCGAATGTACCGACGAGGGAGAATTTCGTGCCGCGATGAATATCGTTTAGCGGCTGAGGGACTAATTTATTTGCTCAGCTCCCACTGTTTGGGAGATTCGTTCGCTAATTCACTTTTCCGATTCCATGTGTCGGCTTGGTCTCCTTCTTCCCTCCCTTATCGGCTCGTTGATATATTGTTGTATTCTGTTGTATTATTAATGAAGATCTCGCGAAGGAACGTCCCGAGGTCTTGCCCTTTAATTAATCCTCGCTGCAGTTATATCTCACAACACATTGCTACAGCCGCGCGCGCACTTTCCATAGCATTTCGGATGTTTGTGCAGAAAGAGAAAGGAGGGGGGGGGGGCGGAGGGAGTTGCGCGTTTCGCCATAAACTCGTTTTCGAAACGGCCGATGCTAAACAAGCGCAGCCTAGCGTGGCGCTCGATTCTCGGACGCGGACCTGATTTCGCCGAAAGATAAGGTGCATTTTGCTTATCCAAAGAATTCCGCCGAGACTTGGGGAGCGTGCAGTCGCGCGTGTGACGTGCTTATTTGCGTATACGCGCATGAGCGTACAGGGAAAATAACAATCATCCTCGCGTGCCTGCGAGACGGAGCCGTCGCTGAATGTGTTCGCTTTGGGACAAGCTAAAGCACGGTGCGCGTTCAAGAGCCTTGCTACAAATAATAGGTTCTCGTAATTATCGCGTTTAACCGGCTAATTCCAGCTTTGCCAGCCAACTCCGTGCTCCGAGGATTGAGAACGAGGGGGGGGGAGGGAGGGAGAGTCGGAGCGCTGCATCGCGGATATATTGCGGAGCGTAACGCTGTAATGCGATGTCACACGGTATGGTAACGCACGCACCTCATAGCGCGAGGCATTTCGCGGCCGTGTAAAACATACAATATAAATTCCACGCTTGCTTTAGAGCGTCGAATAAATATTCGCTTAGTCGTTATGGACGCTCTCTCTCTCTCTCTCTCTCTCTCTCTCTCTCTCTCTCTCTCTCTCTCTCTCTCTCTCTCTCTCTCTCTCTCTCTCTCTCTCTCTCTCTCTCTCTCTCTCTCTCTCTCTCTCTCTCTCTCTCTCTCTCTCTCTCTCTCTCTCCCTCTCCCTCTCTCTCTCGGCCGAGCCGTTATTTCGCGCGTTCAATTTGGTCCATATTAAAATAATCGCGCAGTTACTCACACATTTGTGACGGCTAATGCGCAGCGCGTTCAGCCATTCGTGACAAACGCGCGTCAAGTGATGCGTGAGTGCATGGAAAAATTATATTCCCGCTCATTTTTCATGCGCGCAGGCCAGTGTGGCGGCTTAACATTTAGCGCGAGGTTGTTGTCGCTTCCTAATCGTACAAATTCCTCTCTAAATGTTAACGCGAAGTCGTCGCTGCGACAACGGTGTTGCTTTGTGCAACCGTTTCCTTTATTTTGAATTATTATTATACAATAAATCAACAATAATGATAATAGCGTAGCGAGTAACGTCTGTCCGATACTTCCAGCTGATGCATCCCCTGCGACGAACCGTCGCAACGCTTCGCGAACAGTCGAGTGCGTGCATAGGAACAAACGTTCGAGGGTCATGCGCGCGATATAACAATTTCGGCCTTGCCATTTCAACGCGGGACCTTCGAACGTATTTCCACGCTTGTTCTTTTATCAGCTCGCAAAATGTCGAGTGTGAGCGAGCTAAAAATAACGCACACACAACTCGCTC